TTTAAGTTTGCGAAGCAAGTTTTGTACTTTTTCCATCACAATGTCAGTAATTCTATTTCAGAACTGGGATCAATTTCCTTGATTTGCTTGCTGACATTCAGTACTTTGCACAGCAAAGAGAAGGACATGCTTTCAGGTTTGACATCTGCCTGCAAAACTCTAATTTCAATACATTTACCCTAACACTTTTATCCCTAAAAGCTTCAATTATAAGGAATTTCTGAGACTGTTTCCTTAAAGAAAATACATTGTATTTGCCTATTAAGCTGTAGAGATAACAAAGACACAACAATTTGCTCGTATAAAGCCTGAGTTGTTAAATTCAGGAAGTAGCCACTACTTTGGAGACAAAGAAGCTCATTTAATACCACACTGTAAAATGTTTTGGAAATTGAAATCATTTGGAAAGCATGGTCCATTTAAGATCATATCAGTACAGATACTAAATTTGCCAAAGTGCAAAAAAAAAAAACCCAACCCAAAAAACTAATGACTTCAAATGAAAAGTTTGTAAACAAATGCACTTCCTTATTTAGACCACCATTTCATAATAATCTCCTAGCTAGCAGAAATAAATTACAGTTATTTTGGCACCTTTCCCCCTCCCCTATTTTTGTTGTTTGAAGGAGATGTGTAATATCACAGTCTACATTAATCCTATACTATATTCAACATGATAATAACATTTGAAAGGTTAGGATAAACAGGATGTAAGAGGAAAAACATCATTTCAATATCTATAATTTATTGGATAAGATGAAGAACACAAAGAATATTATTGAAAAGAATAAGATTTTTGACCTTCACCTAACCTGGAATTCTGTGCCTAAGCACCAAGACTGGATTAAGTCCACATATAAATGAAGAAATATAGTAGTTATAAATGTTTCTCTCTTTACTGTGATTAACAGTTCAGAGTCAGGTTGCACCTGATCCTTGCACAAATATCTTCTAAACCATTTTATCTTTCTATGTGTACCATTATTTTGTCATTCTGTGCCATTTTTATTTGTCAACATCTTTATTTTCTAATGAATCAGATTTTCTTTTCAAGATACTCTGGAAGTAAGTTTGCTGATAAGGAGCAAGAAACAAACATTTTGAATAGCTTGAAATCTGCAGAAATGCTTGCAACTTGGTACTTTTTTTTTTTTTTTTTTTTTTGTCCACTTAAAAGAGATATTAAAACTCATCAGAATCTAAATGAATCAAATCCACTATATATAAATGTATAAAGTGGTTCAGAAATTGGACATAAGCAGTTATCTGAGAAAATTTAAAACAACCTACAGCACTCCTAGAACAACAACAAAAAAAATCCCTCAAGTTATCTTGCTTTCCTACTTTCATGAGTAAAACATTTACAAAAATGCTATGCCAGTATGAAATAAATAAGTAGAAAAGGAAGATTAATACGGCCATCTAGAGGACAAAAGAATGATGTGAAAGCATGCTACACAGTTTCAGACTTCAGAATAAGACATTTTTAGAGATACGAGGATAGAAAATGCATGCAATGAAGTAACAGATAGTGAGTGAATTTTAAAATAATTTGATTGGACATGGTGATGGTATACATTAGAAATGTTTTGAGTAAGGTGAGGAAAGTTCTTATTAAGGTGTATGAAGAAAGACAAGATTATATTTTTGTCTCTTTGTAAAATATTGTGTGTGCACTGTTAAATGCAGATATGTCTAAAAACAAACAAACAAACAAACAAAAAGGCCTACAAAGTGGAGATTACCATGCACAATAAATTGCAAAATTAGAAAAAACATCTATTGACTCCTTTGTAAACACACAGCACACTTCTGCTAAGTACAACATGTGATAGACTACTGAAGAGAAAATAATACAGAACTTTCTGAAAAGGAAATATCCTGTTATAATCACTCATATTACTCTCTCTAGTGGAATTTTTAATTCCATGAGAATTGATGAGAAGGAAGAAAACAGCAATGAGAAAAAAATTCTCTCACCACTGTACTGCAGTACTATCAAGTCCTGGTCAGCATATGGAATGATTGTTGCCTTAGGCTGGCAGTGCAGCTTAAATGTTTGAGTCTCAGAAGTAGAAATGATTAAGTGTATATGATGAAACAGATGAATGCAGACACCACATATACTGGCTGTTGTTTCTCGTATTAAATAAAGTACATAAGAAAACATTGCTTTTCATTTAATTACAAATAAAGAAATGATTCTATCATTTGTCTTTAAACTTCTTATAAAAATATAATAATTTAATGAAAAATTTCAAGTTTTCTATGGCATCCTGTCTCACAGACTTAAGAAACAATAAAACTTTGAATTTTTAAAAATTACATGAAAACACTGAAAATGGGGATGCTCTCCACTTGCAACAAGAGATTTTTAACCTCACCTGTTAAGTAAAGTGTTTCTCTTAATACACATGAACTCTTTGGTAGTGTTGGTCAGTTCTTTCTTTCTCCTTTTTTTGACTGCATGCTTTCTTCAGCAAAGTCCTTGGCTGGGCAGCTTTTCCTCCATTATGTGCTTGACACAACAAGGTCTACTCTGGGTTTTCCTTTAGTCTAGCTGTGTTTAAATTTTATAATTTTATAATTGTGCAAAGATTCTTAGTGTGTGACATGAAGAACAAAGAAATATACTAATTACTCTAGTGTGCCATCTTCAGGTCATGGAAAAGTGAAAAATATTTGGTTAACTTGTTGCCAAGCCCAATTATTATTTTTTAAATACTAACAAACATTTTGTTGAGATGAAATGATTCCAAAAATGAGTCAAAATCCGTCTCATTTGAGAGCTCTTTGAAAGCAATTTTGCACAATTTTTGCAAGTGCAGAATGATTGCAGGCTATCAGATAATACTGCTGATGTTGGAAGAGTATGAATGCTATCAAGAAGTAGCAAAAGTAAAATTCAGACAGTACTAAGGCAGTTTGCAAGTATGCGGTTAAAAATGTACAGTTTTCTAAGTTAGGGTGTAAGTTATGATAGCTTCTGCTTCCCTCTTTTCGCCTCCCCAAATCCTCACTGTTCTTTCATTATAGTAAATTGAATTTACATGCTAATTTTAGAGCAAGTGTGTGTGTACGTATATATAAATGAGTTTTGCATCTAGCAAGTTTCCTGAATGGAAACAGTGTTGAGAAAGGATAGCAACTGGTAAAAGACATATTTAGCAAGAGAAGGGAGAAAAAAAAAAAAAAGAAAAAAAAAAAGAGGAAAAAAAAGAAAGGAGGAGTGAAACAATTGTTAGTTTCCTGCTGCATTTGCCAACAGCGTTCTTCTGTCTTAACAGTCTAACTATAATAAAGATTTCCAGCCTGGAATTTTTAATCCCCAGGAGATGATAAAATCACTGAGTGTGAATTTTGACTAAGTGGGAGGATGACAAAAAGACAACTATTAAACATCACAACAAAAGTAGATACATGCTAAGACAATGCTACTGGAGCTTAACTTTAACAGGGCCAAACTGAAAAGCTCAGATGAATGAGAACATTGCACTGAGATGATGAACTATGATCAGTATTCTCTGCAGCTGTGAAATACAAAGAGGAATGCCACATGGTCCTTTAAACATGAATATTTCAACAAGTGACCTCAACAGTCTGAAAACTGATAAATACCTCACTCTGAATATCCAAGCATTCTAATAAATAGAACTGAATTTTCCATCTCCTGCTGATATATATCACCACTGTATACCAACAATGACATCAGCCGTATAAGAAAATTAGTATCTTTCATATTTGCCTCAACAGTACTGCCAATAGATATCAGTAGGCATCAAAAAACACAAACAGGAAAACAACCCCCATCCAGAAAACAAAATACTTCTACTGTCCCCTCATGCTTGTTGCCCCCACAACCTGATCTCTCTTCTGCATCTCCTTCCCTGATTGCTGGAATGCTGTCTCCTGCCTTCCAACAAGTTAACAGCAAAGAAAAGAACTGAAAATCCTCGTAATCAGAAAATAATTTTCATATTTGGCAACTTGTTTGCCTAGAAATGTCATGTCCTTTGTGTCTTAACCACAGGAATCATGAGTGAGCATGCGCTCATTTCAAATATTAGTGACAAGCAAACTTTTATATAATTGAATTACAACAGTTATATAAAGACTACCTTTTTTCAAGTTCTCTTGGACTGGATGCAATGTTTAAATGTAGTATTTTTTATTACAGGTGTCCACTTTTTGCTAGAAAACACCACTCTCTAAAAAATGCTGCACTTCAACATATTAAAAGGAGTCCAGCACGTCTTACCATAATACACTACCTATATAATAGCCTGACCTATGAACACCTTTAACTAAGCTCACTTTTCACATTAGAAAATGACTACAGATACAGTTCTCCCACGCAACTATTTTCAAGCACAAAAAGCATATTGATTAAATATTGATAGCAGATTTTTCAACCTCTGTATCAGGCAGTTGTTGCCACTCTTAAACTCTTAATTAAAATCTTGAGATATATAACACAAAAGAAAACATTCCTTTGTTTACATTCAGCTATTACCTCCACAGAAAATTCAGATTAATCTAATCACATCTTTCTGTGATTTTAGTAGAAAAGATGAAGAACATTCCATTACTTGATAGTGAAATATGCATGTGCACCAGAACCAATAACCAACTCAGTTTACTTGCTGTTATGACAGCTTATCAAGAAAGGCATATCAGGTATTGATAATATCACTGAATCCATCAAGAGTACCTACATTTCCTTCCTAAACAAAAACAAGTTAAAGTAAATCCCTTAGAGAATATAATGACTAATAATAAAATTCTATAAAATTTTATTTAAGATATTATATCATTTGCAGTATTTCTGGAAGAATATGCAAACAATTCTGTGCTAATTTTTTTGGAGCATGCATAAATACAAAAGAACCTGGATGTTTCTTGCTGACATTGATTATTTGCAAATCAAGCTTTTTCTGTCTACGACTTAACAACATAATTCTGAAATCTTGAATAAAATGAATGCTTTAAATCAATCTTACCTTCATCTATTGAGGCTTCACTACTGTATCCATCATATTCTGCAGACAGGGGGCTATATTTTTGCCTGGTTTCCCATACATAGTTTTTTTGCTGTCTGCCATCCACCACTGGCAGCCTGGAACTCTGGGTTCTAGACAAGGCCTCATGATATTTACCCAGTGCTTCATCTTCACTCTCAGATGATGAACCATGCTGATCTTTACTCATATAAGAGTTGTCTGTTTGAATAAAATACAGCAAATCTACTACTGCTCAAAACAGAATACAAGAAAATAACCATAAGCGGTTATCACTGAAGATATTTAAGAAACTTCAATTAAAAATTTTGTAATATTTAAAAAATGTAATTTGAGGTATTACCTGATTTAGTAATCTAAGGGGGTTGTGGGGTTTTTTTTTGTACAAAAACTGAAAGATCTCTAAGCCTCCAAAAGATCTGAAAATTTATTCAATAGAAAACAGATCCGTCTTTGTAAGGCAGTACACACTGAAGTTCTTGAAACTCTTCATTAAGGAAGAAAATACTCAGTGTTTTACATGAAGTAAATTCAACGTTTCTTCACTATCATATTTGGATACTTAACATATCAAAAAAGGCAAATTTTGATGCACCATCCCCAATTGAGTTTTTCTGTGAGAATGCAGTATGAAGTAGAAATGAAAATGGTTTATAAAGAAAAGCCTACACAACAAAGCCATTCTAGGATATTTATGTTAGTAATGCTTAAACTCATGACAACAAATGGCAAAATGTCAGTAACAGATGCTCGCATGCACAATTTTATTTAACTTAGAATAAACAGCCCCTTGTTCAGTAACTGAAATTAAAGCAGATTTTATGACATTGAGCAAAGCTAAAGGTGCTTGGAGGAAACTGCCTCGTTAATTTTCTTATTCCAGTTTCACTACAGTGCCCATGCCAGTGGCCAACTTTATCCAGCTACATCTCTCAAGCATAGATTCCATCACAATTAGAAAATCTGGTTGTATTTTACTTCTGTAAAGGAAAGCGCCCTCCTCCCTTTTCCAAATTTCAAATGGGTTCTGTACAAATTTGACATGCTATCCTTAGTTCTGTAGATCTCAAATTCTAACAGGCATTAAAAGTGCACACGTAAACTCAGTAATGTTCAGCATTACCACTACTCTATTGAGAAAGTCTACAGTATAAGATTTTTCAAAGGATTTTCATTACGTACTGAAAACAGAACTCCAGGATGCCCATAATGCTGTTGTTCAAGGGGATATTGTTTAATATGTGATCCTATTAAGATGAGCCTCTACTCCCCTTCCTCCTATTATGCCCCCTCCTAGCCCCTGTCCAGCTCCATTTCAGCTCCCATTACTTCCTGTCTTCACCACCAGCCAGTCTCACTCTTCTTTATGTGCATTTGAACCAAAGAGATTCAGCTTATTCAGAACTCAGGCACTGGAAATCTGACTAATTCAACCCATACTAGCCACCTATGCCTCTTTTACAGCCAAGCTTTTTACTCTTCTTTCCAACCACGAAGATCCTTTCTTCCCACTTTTATCAAAGCCTGTAAGAGTAGATGAACAAGACCACTTCCCGGATATATGCCTTTGATATGGGAAAAGAAAATTCCCACATTTCAAGTCATACAGTATTCAGGAGTACCAGAGCTATTTTTCCATACTGGAAACAGCTAAATTTTTTTTCAATTATGGCTTAAAAAAAAAAAAAAAAGCAAAATTAAAAAAACAACAACAACAACAGACATCACATAAACACATACACACACACACACACACACACAGAAAAGGCCCAACAGCTTCATCTCAGAGAGAAAGCATGCCAAATTTCACCCCAAATTTTCCAGATCTGGAACATAATTACAAGCAACTGGAAGTAATGTCATGAAATGGAAAATGTCAGGAAACCTTAACTGCAGATGGTGCCACCAACTTCACATACAATGTATTTATATTAATTCAATATTTGTAGGAAAACTGGTGCCTTAAAAAACGTTAGGCTACCAATTTCAATTCAAGTCTGACAGGTACAGTGATTCCCACTGTACGGATAACTCTATAAGCAAGTTCAGTTCCACTGTTCACTTGTTGAGAACAACACACCAAGCAGGATATATTCTAGCTGGCAGATCCACTACCAGTTCACTCAGAAGAAAGCGCTTCCTTCAGTGCTACACAGAGTAAAACCTTGTATCTCATATGACTGTCATCAGGATCTCTGTTGCTGTAAGTAAAACAGGGCATGTCAAGACTCAGACATAATGCCAGACATCAGTACCAGGTACATCATTTATCGTATTTGCAAATATGAAAATAGGTTCATTAGTCAAAATAAAGTACCAAAAATTGAACAGTTTAAAAGATGTTAGCAGCATATTCAAAACAAGAGCTGAAAGATAGACGACTAAAACTATATCAAAGCTTGTAAGCATCCAGAAATTATCAGTGATATCAGAAAATTTTTCCTCCGGTTACTGGCATAAAAGAACAACAACAAAAAAAAAGGATGTATACTAATAATACAGGACATGAAAAAAGACTTCTTCAGAGGACTTAAGAACCTACAGAGAGTTAAATCACAAGCATTCATGGAAACATTTTTTAAATAAACAATGCAAATCTGTTTCAGTTTCTTCAAAAAAAAAAAAAAAAAAGCTTACTGCAACATGAAAATAAAAAATCCTCCAGGTTTTACACCTCTCCTTGCCACTTGTCTTACAATTTTTATATCTTATTTGGAAACCTGCCTAAATAGACTGCATATTCTTATTAAAGACTTTCATTCATTTGGCTAACAGCACATATACCATTATTGAACTATTGACACCTATTTATTTACAGCAAAGGCAACCTTCAATAGAGAACATACTACTTCAAATTGTTTCATGAGATATCAACAGATAACATCACAGTTTATCATACAAATACACCAATCACCTACTAAATCAAGCAAACAAAAAATTAACAACTGAAGTTTTCAGACAAAGGAACAAACATACACTGAAAAAAAAAACTTTCTTGATCAGATTATTCACTTCTCCACCAAAACAACATCTCCAGACATTCTACATTACATTCTAAAATTTCACTGCACAGCCTGTAAAAGAATTTTGTAAAATGTAGGATTTCACTTCTTGCTCATGAGCTTTCATTACAACACTTTCATCATATTGTTTAAAATTAGATGTTGAAGACAGCACACACAGCACCCATATCAACAGTATATAGGTTTTCTCTGTAAGACTACAACTTTCTTTAAGACAAGCCTTGCTCAGCTTCTTCTACACTTAAAATCACTTAATTGCCACTTGTCATTTATTCTGTCTCAAAATTATGTTACATTTGCTAGAAATACATTCTGAAGATCCAGTATAATGCCAATGTAACAGAAGTTCAATTTTTCCCCTCTGTCATCTTTTCACATTTTATGCAATGTTTTTAAAATATGCAAAACAAATTGTGCAACAGAACAGGTCTTAATTTCCAGTATTAATTAATCCCTAGTTTTCACCAGAAATCACACAAGAAAACTGAGAAAAGGCAAGATGAACTGTATATAGAAAAAGTTAGAATATAGGAAAGATATTTCTTAATCAGTTCCTTTGACTAATACTTGAAGAGTAATTAACTTCCAAGAGACACCAATATAATTAGAGAATAAAGCCCTGACAAACAGACCTACTTTCATCCATGGGAAACATCATTACTAAAGTGAAATGTGTAAGTCAAGTGAAAAAAGTAGGAAGTACATAGGTTTCAAGAAAGGCTGAAGAATGCAGTTTCCTGACAGACTTCTCACCTTTTCCTGCTGTCTTCTTATTACACAGCCCTCTTGATTTCTTTTCTGATTTCTTTGAGTTTTTCTTGTAACCTACTTTTGCAACAGTAGGTGATGCATCATCTTCAGATTTTTCTTTCCTGTCAAAAAAGGCTTCAGACTTCTCTTTGATTTCATTAATGCAACTGGGGTGATTATTGTGTATCTTCAAACTGGAGTCTGATAATTTTTGCTTCTGTACTTCAACAAATTTTGTTTCTAAATCTCGAGGAACATTCATACCACGGACTTCTTCAGAGTCATTACAATCAATTCCATGAGAACATGGCTTGATTTTGTGATGCCAGTGATTCTCAGAATTATCAGGTATTGTATGTAGGCAACTATCTTGATTCTCAACAGACTCCTGCATTGTAAATTTATTATTTTTCAGGCTACTATCCTTCAGTAACTTATCATTTTCAAAATAGTCATTTCCTCCTACTACTTCCCTTTTAAGAGGTCTTCCTACGTTCTTAAAATCCCAAGGTACTTCTGTATCTTCTAAGCAATCATTACTATCTTTGCCTTTTAATTGGAACTGGTTTTCACCCACAACATGGTTGAATACTCCATCTTGATTTCTGTCTTCTAAGGAATTGGAATACTGAATCTCCTTCTGTTCTGCAATATCCCTCTTGGCTTTAGTATTAATTTCCTTAGGCTCAGTTAACCATGGTGCATTTTCTTCTCTGTCTTGTGCTGGTTTATCATTCCGCATTTTGGAGCTCTCATCTTCTGCACGAAGGCCATTTATCATGTTTGTTACCTGTTCTGTTACTGAATCGGCTACACTATAACCAACTTCTCCAACAACACTGGTCAGATCATCTACAGCGCTGCTAAGAGTGTCCACCAGAGAAGACACAGAAGGAAGGCTCAGATTTTGGTGGAAGTTTCTGAAAAATGCCATTTTTCCAATTTACTCAGCAGCAAAAAAATAAAAAATAAAAAAAACGTACAGAAAGATCTTCTGTTTCATAAACAGATCAACTCCATTTCTTCAAGTTCTATTTCATAGCTATTTGCTTTTGCTACCTCAAACTCACTACATTTACCAGGGGAGGCTGCTGCTTTGCGTTTTCCATTCAATATGCATTGAAAACAATAAGAAAGCAGCATAAATAAATATCTTGAAACGAATCCATAATCAACCAGCAAAATGACAGTCTTTCATCATCTGCAGCATCAACTAGCCACAATAAAATCCATTATTCTCAAAAATAAGACAACTGTGTGAGGAAGGAACATGTATTTTTATTCTAACCTGCAAAGAAGAAGTTGTGAGACATTTAAATGATGCCCTTTCAAGAACAATACACTTTTCACAGTACAATAACCCTTTAACACACTATTTGCATAAAAGCTCACATCACAGAGACTTCCTGACCCCAAAAACTGTTGCTGTGTTTTACATAACATATGTCAAATCATGAAGACTTGTTCTGCAGCAAAAAGAAATTTAAGAAGGAATATTTGACTTTCAGGGGCAGTAGCTACTTGTCTAAAAAACAAACAAACAAACAAACAAAAAACCCAAGCCTTAAAAATTCAGCTGTGCCTTTCAAAAAGGCAGAAGACAAAAAAGTCTCAAATTTCCCATTCTCTTCTCTAGTGCTTGTATCTTCCACTCAAGACAGCTAACAAATCCAATTCAATATCTGCAGCCCAAAAGTACAGATGGGGCTATTTTACTAACCCTCAATATATTTTAGGAGGTCTGCTCTTCTCTCATTTATCAATACTATTTCCAAGGACAATATTTAAAAAGTATAGAAAAAACTTATTAGCTTTATTGATTTATTTTCTGATTTTATTTTCTGTTTTGCATCTTTGAAATTATTTTCCAGGTAAGTAAACACCTTACACAAAAAGTCAGTGAAGGATTTAAAAAAGCTGAGTGGAAAAAAAAAAAATTCCAGTCACAAATTTACTTCAGATTTAATTGTACACAATTACAGGATGTTAAAAATGCATTTAAGAGTATTCACACAGCACAAAAGAAATATCTTCCCATAAGTAAATGTAAACTCTCTAGTTATAAAGCTGTTGATTTTCTGCAGTTTGTGAATACAGAGGTTTCCTCCCTTTTACGTAGTGCAAAATCACAGGGAAAAGTCAACATTGCATTATTTCATCATTTCAATCAAGTGATTATTTGTGTATTTCCACAAAAAAATTCTCAGGCTCTTATAACTTGATGTCCAATATATTCTATTTCAGATACTTACACAGCTTATCTTGTGAATTCTTTCTCGTAGGGTATCCTGAATCAAGATCAGGGAAACCACCAACATTTTCAAAACACATCTTCTTATTAATATATAGGAAAAGCAGCAGCATGAGGATAATGAATACCCCAACTGCAGACAGGAATCCAATTGCTTCAGGAGATACTAAAAGAAACAGAGAAGGACATGTTAAAAAAAAAAAAACAGTCTATTTAAGTGTAACTTGCAAAAGTTTTTATATTTGTCAGAACTGGTCATTAATAAATACTACTAACATTCAAAATATATATGAGATAACCGAAATGCCAGCTTTTCCATTTGAGTACATATTTAACACTGTTGAATTTCAACAGGTTTTCTTCTTCTTCCAGACATCTTTTCAAGAACAGAAAATACATGGTCTCAGTATGGGACAAAAGACATTGTAAGAGCTTGCAAGAGGTTCTGCAGCAGTACTGGACTCCAGTAACAAGACTAGGCCACTGCAGAAAATGAGGATATTGTTAACATTTACCAAGGCTGAAATTTTTGATGGAACACTTGAGGAAGAGCAGCATATGGGATCCAAGAGCATCCCCTTTTCCTGAAAGGGGCTGGAGATTTGGAGACAGCACAGTAGGATAAAAAGGAAAATGAAAAAGGGAAGGGACTGTGTCCTTGCTGGTAAGACCATTGCCTCTGCCAGCTTTGTTATACTCAGCTTCTGACTCCTCCTTCTTTAAGGACCAGCTGGACCTCATCACTCCCTGACAAACAGGATTCCATGGGAGCAAGAAAGCTGAAAGTAAAAAAAACCAACCGAACAAAAAAACAAAACCAACCACCTAACAGTATATTCTTTAATATGGTACTTGTGTCACTTTAGTATAAAACGAGAAAGAGCTAAGGCAGATGGAGATAAAGCATACTTCATTGAAACTAGGTAGTGGAACCAAGACTGAAGTAGACTGACATGTCTGTATAAAATAAAGAATGTGTAATCACTGTGAAGCAGATAACTGAAAGGGACTTTTGGGCACCTTTTGCAGGGACAGAATCTTGCAAGTCCATTAGGACCTAAGTATATCAGTAATGACATAATGGCCAAGATTACTTAGGAAAATATTTTAGAAATACAAAATTTGGGAAAGGATGTACCAAATGGGACAAATGGGGACAAAAGTACTTAGGAGCAATCTAATTATTTGTAGAAGCCTTTTGCTTGTTAGAGAAGACTTATAAAGATTTATTAGGTTCGTTAATTCCATTGGTAAGGCTCCTAGCATTTCATGTTAGGAGTGTAATACTGTGTGCCAACATCTTTCATGAAGGAGACAATATTAAAGAAAACTTACCAGCAGACTGTATTAACAGAGATGTAATGAAAAAGGACAAGAAGTAGAAACAAGGAAAGCTCTAGTGGGACATGGGATGGGGGAAAATCCAGAATAAGAGGTGTTCAGTGCTGGACCAGATGCCCTAGAAAGGTTACAGAACCTAACTTTAAAATCAGTCCTGCCTTGAGTAGGGGGCTGAACTGCATGTGACTTTCCCAGGAGTCTTCCAAATTAAATTACTCTCTGCATCTGCCTATGACCTTAGTAAATCTGAGCTTCCTCTTCTCTTCAAAAGTGCTGACTGAGAAACACAAACAGTTCCACCAGCCCCTCAGTTTCGGCACTGTTTGGCAGTGTTATTTGCAGGATGATAGGGACCATTTTTTATTGTCATTAAAAAACAACAGCAACAAAATCACAAGAACAAAAGATACAAAAAAAAAAAAATGCACCTTTCACAATCTAAAATGAACGGGTCTGACTTGAACTTCTGCTAATTTTGAGCCGGACATCCAGGCCTATCTGAAATAGTGCAAATTCTTTTTGCTTTCTTTCTTTTTATTTTTTCAATCTTTGACCAAAGGGATTGTGTAATATTGTGCAATATTGTGCTTAAATTCACTGTCTTTCTACCTAACAATTTCAGAAGAGAAGGAACAAAGAACCCATCTGGGCAAAATTTCTGAAAAAAAGACCAAACTGTCAAGAAAAGTAGTCCTAAAGGAATGAAGTAGAAACCCCAATTAAACTAAAACTGGTGCCTCTATTTAGTCAAACTTCAGTAAGTGCTTTTTATGTCTTTTAGATCATATAAGAAGAGTTAGGAAAAACATGAGCAACTCTTAATTAAGTCAATTAAGTTGGGAACACTGTTTTATGAAAAACTGAAGGCAAAGCTAGAAATGATTGGAAAGCTCTGAAATTTAACCTTCATCTTCCAAACCATTAAAGTCCAAGACAAATCAAAAAATATAAGAACAAAGTATGACTGCTGAATAAGAGTAGAATAGAACAAACAAACAAACAGTGCAACAGGGGAGACCAGGTGTATCATATTGACAATTTCACATAGCATAACAGAAATAGAGATTTACAGAGCTACAAATTTCCCCATTAGTACTTCAAGATGAGACATTCTGCTATCACGCAGAGCATCAAGGTATGAAAGGTAGAATTCCAGTCCAGACCAGAGAGGAAAAAAAAAGCTATATTTATGTTTTCATTAATCTGGACAAATAGAGAAATACTTTCAGTTATGAAAGATCTTGGTAGAACTTTCTACTTGGATTACCTGCTACTCTAGTCAGAAGATAGGAGTTATTACTTTATTAAATTTACTTGTTACAGCTCAAATCAATGGCAACTCTGCCTCAGCCTGGAAAGTTTTTTTCTGTTTAAGTTTCAAAAAAATCATTATGTTATAACCAAGAATGAGAAGAAAATCCAGACTTCATAAAATAATTTAAAAATACCCTAGTGTTCCCTGATTGAGAGCAAGGTAAATTTGGCACATGTCAGGCATCCTTCTATCATCTTCAAGAAGCTTTCCTAAATATGGAAAAGCTTGGAAACTTTAAAGGAAAAAAAAAGTCCAGTTTGTCATATCTTCCTTTTTTGGCCTGTAAGTCTAACAGATACAATCTCCCAAGATTGTGTTGGAAGGAAACGTGCTCCATTCCTTCCCAAGACAGTGTATAGATGACTGACAATGTCTAAGGCTGACAGAATGACATTCAATTTCTCTGAGTTACTGATTCTGACCTTACAGGACTAGAGTGTGGATTGAGAGCAGAGCATCTTTCTTCAGTAATTTCCAGTTCTAATATCTATCAAAGACAGAGGCAGAAAGAAGAGGCTGCAAGAAGAAACCAGGCACAAAAAGAAGTGAAAATTAAGTGAAAAGTGGCAATTAGGCACAAGCTAATGAGGCCCAGCAGGGAAATAGAAGGTATGAGTTAAGGTTAGCATAGAGTGCACAGAAAAAGTTGGAAAGCAAAAACAGAAAAAAGATCAGGAGGAAGAAACAGATAAAGCAAATGAAACCTCAGAAATTTATCTATGAATACTGCTTTGTTACTGAAGCAGGTCGTTCTAAGCAACTTTGCCCAAATTCAACACCAGAGATGCACTGAGCAGGAGACAACTGTAATCCAATAATTCCATGAGCCTATGACTCACAATAGAGAGAAAGGAACGTTCTCTTTAATTAGATTAACTGTTACCTTATTAGAAAAGTAGCTTGAAAACACAATGCTTTTTAATTTTTCTTGAGTACTTCCTGGATACAAATTGGTTAAAAGACAGTCTGTACACAAACTGTGTAGCTCTCTATGGAAACACAGTATCTGATGACATCTTTCTGGAGTGAAATAAAACAGTGGCTGATACTTTGTAAAAGGGAAAGGATGTAACATTAGCTGCAGCCTCACTAATAGTGTATGTAAAGCAGCATGAATATAAGACTTAAAAATTATGTTGCAGATTCAATTTGATTCCATGTAAAGAATCTTTAAAATGCTTGTTCACAGATTAAATTTATCATCAAGTTTAAAGCCTTTACTATAATACCATTATATAGCCAGAAAAAAAAAATTTCCACACATAAATGCGTACAGATTCCTATCTGTGAACAAAGGTTTTATATATCACACCAACCCTTCAATTAAATTCTCACAGTTGAAGTTACATTTCAACCAGTTATACTATGTAAATAGAAGGGAAAAAAAAGTATGCTTCCATGCAAAATCCATCCACGCCACATTCATCACAGCAATTACTCTAATTCAAAACACGTTGTGATCAATTCAAAATTGGTTTGGGCAATGATTGTACAATGAAGAGCATTTTTAAAATTCTCTGAGATTCCCTGCAGTTTCTTTTAGAACGACATAGCAGCAGAAGGGCAATTCTTCAGTAGTCATCTTTCACATCCAAATTTCAAAAACATCTTACTTTTTGGACTTATAATTATCCTCAACTCTTAAGGAAAAACAGCAATGAATGGTTAAATTTATAACAACATAACAGAGCTTTACAAATGTGAAAGGAACAAATGTCACACTACAAAGCTATTAGGATTAATTGAATTGCTGGCTATGGAAATGACATAAGTTATACTCATTACAGAAGTATTAAATTAACTTTAATTTACTTTTGTTATTATCACTAGAATGATAATTATTAGAAAACGGAAACTTACCATCTCTTCATCCTAAATATTGAATTACTATCTCTTTCTCAAATAGAAAAATATAACTCTCTGTCACTAAATGATTTTTCTTTAAAAAAAAAAAAGTTTCAGACTCCTCAGAAAACATTAACATCTTCAAATAAATGTCACAGAACACCAATAACAACCCTCAGATGTATTAAAAAGGATGCAGTGTTATTAATACGTACCTACATGCACTAACTTATACTATATTTATTATCTGTATTGTCCAGTCAGTTATTTTTGGACTTCTCACTCCACATCATGCTGCTCACCTAGCTAGTGCAGTACAAAGCCAGAGATGCTTTAATTATTCATTTACAAATGCAATACTATCCTTCATGTGCACAAATTAAAGTAACTAGGGGATGATGCAAAGAAATTCAACTGCCTTTGAGATCATAGCACAAAAGCATTTGAAACAAAAAAAAGGTATGCTCATTTTTTATTTAGAAAGGCAGCAACCAACTAGAATTTAGCTAACCTATGCTAAACACAATCATAGAGAGAAATACTTTACACAGTGTTGTGTTAGAAGACCTGGAATCCTTAACTACACATACTGTCAGCTGATGTTATTAAAATACTTCCCCATATTAAAAGAAGAAGAAAAACAAACAAACAAACACAAAACAAAT